TTGTGAGAGAAGCCTTTTTAAAATTACTAAATTGCCCAGGTTGTTCTTGAATTTGTGATCCTCCTTTGTCATCTAATCAGAGTACTGGGATTATAGGTCTGCACCAGTAAGTTTACTCCTTGGGTCCTTTAAAATTTTTTATTTTGAGACAGGGTCCTGGTAAAGTCCCCTGGATGGCCTCAAATTTGGGATCCTCCAGCTGTCTTAGTAGTTGGGATTGCTGGCATTTGCTACTGCTTTTCATAGTGCTTTTTAAAAATGTGAACTTCTAGGTGTGATGGCATACCCTGTAATCCCAGCACTCTGGGAGGCTGAAGCAGGAGGATGGCAAATTGGAGCCTAGCCTCGGCAATTTAGCAACTTTGTTTGTCTTTTGGTACCGGAGTTCCAACTCAGGACCTTGTGCCTACTTGCACTTGTGAGGCAGGCACAGTGCCACTGAGCTAAATCCCTGGGCCTAGCCATGTAGTGAAACTGTCTAAAATAAGATTGAAAAAGGGGCTGGGGATATAGCTCAGCACAAAGGCCCTGGGTTTAATCTCTAGTTAAGAAAAAAAAAAAAAAGGTAAGCTTTTGTTACCAATTATTCTTTTGGAATAATTTCAGATATACAGAAATGAAAAAGTAGCACAGAGATTTTCGTGCACTCTTTACTCACCTCCCACTAATATTAACTAATATTTAACAATGGTGCTACATCAAAATTTAGGAATATTGCTACAATACTATTAACTAAATAATATAGTCTTGAGATTTCACTATTTATGTCCTTTCGCTACTGGGATCCAATCCAGGTTACCAAATTGCGTTTAGCATGGTGCTTTTTTTTTCATTTAAATTCATTTTGAGCCTTTCGTGGTGGCGCATGCCCTGTAATCCCAGCACTCACGAGGTTAAGGCGGAGGATCATCATGAGTTCCAGGCCAGTCTGAGCTACATAGGGAGTTTAGGCCAGTCTGAGCTACATAGGGAGTTAAAAGCCAGCCTGAACTACACAGTGAGACCCTGTCTCAAAAAAAAAAAAGTATTTTGAAGCTGGGCTCATGGGGCATGCCTATAATCCCAGCGTTTGGGAGGCAAAAACAGGAGGATTATGAGTTTGAGGACAGTTTAAACTACATAGCCAGGCCCTGTCTCAGAAAACAGAACAGGGCCGGGGATTTAGCTCAGTGGTTCCGGATGCCAGCCTCAAAAGCACAAGGTTCCTTTTTTTTCAATCTTGAAAAAAACCAAAACAACAACAACAAAACAAACAAACAAGTGTATCCCCCCCCCCCCTTTGGTACTGAGGATTGAAGCCAGGGACTTTACAACAAGCTACATCCCCAGTCTTTTTTATTTTTTGAGACAGGATCTCTCTAAATCACTTAAAATGTCCAGGCTGGGCTTGAATTTATGATTCTCTTGCCTCAGCTTCCCAGAGCGCTGGGATTGTAGGCTAAACAAATGTATTTTGAAACTGGGTGGGGTGGTTCATGTCTGTAATCTCAGTTACTTCTGAGCCTGAGGGCTGAGGGCTGAGGCAGGATTGTGTATTCAAGGCTAGCCTGGGCAATTTAGGGAGACCCTGTCTCTAAATAAATAGGGCCTAGGATTTAGTCCATGGTAAGGTGCTTTCCTAGCTTGTGCAAGACCCTGGCTCAATCCTCAGTATTATAAAAATTAAAGTAAAATCAATTAAAAAATTAAATAAAAAGTGGACATGCTGGTACATGCTTGTTGTCCCAGCACTCTGGAGGCTCAGGCAGAAGGATTGCAAATTTGGGTCTCACCAGGGCAATTTAGCAAAACCCTGTCTCCTCCCCTCCCAGATGGCCTGTGAACTTAGCTCAATGTGAAGCCCCTAGGTTCAATCCCTAGCTAACTAACTAAAATAAAATAATAAACAGGGCTGGGATGGGCCACCATGCTCAGGACTCTGTAAATTCAATCCTGAGTGCTGCAGAAAAGAAAAAGGAAAATTAAAAAAAGTATCTTGAAGATTGTCTCGTATCATTTTATATCCAGTTGTCTAATTCTCTGGAAGGATTGCAGAATGAATTCTTGGAAGTGAAACTGCAGAGTTAATGATTACGTGCATTTAAAAATTACCAAACCTAGTGATGGGTGTTGTTCAATGGCAGAGTTCGTTTTTAGGATGCAGGAGGCCTTGGGTTAAATCCCCAGCACTGGAAAAAAAAAATTACCTAATTTCTCTACTCCACAGTATTGCCAGACCCTTCTAGCTGGTAGCCCTGTGATTTGAGTATTGGATGTTTCTTTATGAAAGTTCCAAAATTAGGATTGGGGACTAAATGACAGCGATATATGTCTTCACGAGTTTTTGCACACCACAAAACAATCCGTTTGAGAGAAACTGGCGCAAATACTACATTAAGCATTGATTTACATTCTGGCAGTACAGTAATTCATTGTACCATGATCTATATGGTTGACCCCCCATGACCACTAGGGGGCTCTGCTAGAAGGGTTTTATAATTTACATCAGTCCGTTTAAGGAAATGTTTTGGGATGATGCTTTAGAATTCTGAACTTTTTTTTTTTTTTGTACCGGGGATTGAACTCAGGACCTTGCGCTTGCGAGGCAGGCGCCGGAACCACTGAGCTAAATCCCCGGCCCAGAATTTTGAACTCTTTAATCTTGAAAGTGATCATCTAATCCAACTTCCTTATTTCACAGATGAAGAAACCAAAACTGGCCAGAAGAGCTAGTAGGAGAGAGAACTGGAATAAAAAATCCTTTCTTGGTTCCTGAGGCAAGAGTTCAAGAAATTCCCTTTTGTTATGTGTCTCCACTGAATAATTTGCCTCCAGCGGCTATATTTCTCTTTTGGCTGCCAGTTTTAGTTATTTTTGCTAAAATCATATATTTGTGATTTTTTTGAGTTTCACATTTATTAGTACATATTGGTTATACAGATTAATGGTTTTCATTTAGGCAGATTCGTACATGCACATAACATACTTTGATCATTTTCACCCTCCCATCACTCATTGTGATATATTTATAAGAGTATTTTGCGGTTTGGTTAGATGAAGGAATTGCATGAACTTCTAAAATACCCTTATTAATTATTCCAAAATGTTCTATTCGAGCAGTGCAGGGTACCGCATGCCTGTAATCCCAGCCCTTGGGGCGCTGAGGCAGGATTGCTACCAGTTCCAGGCCAGCATGGGCTACTTGTGTTTAAGGGCAGCCTGAACTACATAAAAAAACTCTGTCTCAAAAAAAAAAAGTTCTATTCAAATTCTTCTCGGCACCAAAAACATTACTGTAAACCCTAGCAACCACTTTCAAATTGCTTTTCAAACTTCCTTTCCATTTAAAACACTTTACTCTTTACTCATTCATTCAATATGTACTGAATGCCTATTAGGGTCAGATACTTTTGTAGGTCCTCGGCTTACAGAAGTAAAGCACCGCACTCCCCCCCCCCCCCCCCCCCCC